CTCTTTTTATCATAGGCATAACTCATCAAGGTCTACAAGATGCACATCAGTGTTTCATCCAGGTTTTTTTCTCTGGGAGGGCGAATTTAGTTCTCCGGAGGGGGGGGGGCGGTGAGGCAAGCGAAAGTTTTTGCAGTTGAAAGTTTTTTTAAGGCGATTTTCTTATCTTGATATTTTCCGAAAGATAAAATAGGCAGTAACGATGGAAATACTCCTCTTCTCTTCAACTTTTAAACAGAAAATTCCTGCACCGTTGAAAAATTTCGAAATAGTGATGTACAACGAGAAAGTTCGACGCTGATTCAAATTACTAAAGCATTACCATTGAATTATATTCACCAAAATAAGTGTTTGACCGGAAAAAAATTCAGCAAAAAAATGTTCAAAAAAATATGGATGTGAACAGTAGTAGTCCAGAACCTTTTTTTTTTGAACTTCTGTCCAGAAATAGAAATACATTATAGTATAGAATGACGCTGATTTTCTAATGGAGATCAAACATAAATCAAAGAATAGACAAGAAAAAAATACTAGTTTTATTCTTTTCGCTCAGCAACTGTAAATAATAAATCATGACGCATTCCTTAGGATCTCTAATGATACAATAATGGTGTACACAAGGTTACCGTGTCATACGAACCGATCGAAAATCATCCGTTAATTCTGGTTATTTTTGTGACTCACGATTAGCCCACGGTTATTTCCTTTGTTCTGGAAGTTTCAAAGCGTAAAAACCGACGATTAACCACGGCTGACCTCCTGGTTGACCGAAAAAGTTAGCAGTTCTGACCAATATTTCTTCGGTCAACCGGAAGGTTAACCGTCATTTTTTACGCTGTGAAACACTGAAAGCAAAGGAAATAATCATGGTTAACTGTCGGTCACAAAAGTAACCGGAATTAACCGACGATTTTCGATCGGTTCATACGACATGAGTTGAATCGCAATTGTTATGGCATGTCGGTCTTCCTCCTAAATCGGTGCTAAATAAAATATGTATATGTCGGATTTTAAATGACTCAAACCTATTGAAACTACAGCAGTTGCAACCATGATAATAGGTTTTTAGTCACATAACAGTCCTTTGTAGAACCCTTTTAATTAATCAATAATAGTTACTGCTCGCCACCATTACACCTGGGTAAAACTCTAGACTAGTAGAGTTATACCAAAAATAAAGCACTATAATTATTGAGAGTCATCATTTATGGAGAATACTAGTTTTTTCGGTATTTATTTTTCATTGCAATATTGTATGTGATATTTTTCTATTACAGTAAATGATTTTGTTCATTTTTGGTCACATGACATTTCCTGAAAATTTTCATCGAACAAAAAGTTGTAGAAAAGCTGCACTGATCTTTTTTTTCTTTCTGAAAGATATTTCAAATTATTCCAAAGAGAGCCAACACAATCTCCGGGAGAGTGTTGTCCCTCCTGTCCCCACGCTAGATAAAATACTGATTCTATTTTAACAACATTAGATTTATTAACAACTTTCAGAATCTGTCGTAAAAAATAGTTTTAGAACAATTATATTGATTTTTTTAAACTTATTTCATTTTTCTCGAGAGGGCAAACGTGGTTTCTGGGGCGGGGGGGAGGAGAGAAATGTCCCATGCCCTCCTCTCCCCACTGGATAAAACACTGGATGTTACTCCGGAAACTGCAGCTCAGTTTAATCAAAAAATTGATACAGGACAATTAGCTAAAACATCATCTTGAAGAGGATTGATTTATTTGTTTTATATTCTTTTCATCCGTAACAATAAAATGATATAGTTAGATGAACAAATTCGATGTAAAACAGTAAGAGGTTGATTGATATTATGAATATCTAATTTGAGTTTTAATTAGAAATGAAATAAATAATTGCGAAAAATCCATTGATAAGATCGACAAAGAAAAAGGAATTGTTAGAGTAAATCTAAACATGATATTATACATACGTTGAATAACTTTGCAAATTTTGACTTGCTTTATTTTTATTAAAGAATAAAAATATTTGTATTTGTCTATTTGAATAAAATAATTTATTTGTCAATAAAATATTTCTATTGATCTCATTTAGTAAGAAACATCCAATCATCTTTAATAAAAAATAATATTTTTTAGTATTCAGTCAAATTATTTTAATAGAAAAAGAAATGAACGAATTCTCTAATGAGAAAAGTCCTATATGAAATTGGCTAAACAATTTAAACTAAAAGAATTTTTAATCTTAAAAGATCTTTTGAAAAAGTGACGTTTGATTAAGTCCATTTTGTGATGAAAGTCATTATTAGATTCTATTGATTATATTTAAAAAAAAAAGAATAAAAAAAGAATTGTCAAATTTAACAACATTAAGGGATATCTATTTTTATTGTTTTTATTTCAAATATTAAATATAACAAAAAAAAACTATTTGACAGATAAAAATTTGTAAGACATGATCATATTAATTTGTTTCTTTCTTTTGTAAAATGATTGATCTTTGAATAAAATAATAATCAAGATATTATTGCTTGAGGAAAATAATCTCGTAAAGAATTGGAATAATTCTTTTCTCCCCAGAAATAAATTTTATTTATTTTGCCACAATTAATTCGTGTTGAATCTCTTGTAAAATTGTGTGTTACTCTTTCTAATGATTTATAATTAATATAAACAAGAATATTATTATGAAAATATGTTTTTCTATTAAATAAAAATTCTTCAAGATAATCATCATGAACTTTTTCAATATCAAGTGTAACAAGATAATTATATTTAACAATTGATGAATTCTGAGATTGTTTATGTTTTTGTGATTGATTATTAATCAAAGATAATTTTTCAATAAATGGAAATGATTGAGAAATACGAATAAAAAATTCATGTTCAAAAGGATGTTCATCATATAATGATATTAAACGAACATATTTAAATATTCCACCTGGAAAATGATTTGTTATTCTTTGATAATATTGGATTTGAGATGGATACGAATAAATATGACATTGAGCCTCATTTTCTTCTAGAAAATGGTTAACATAAGATATTATTTTATTATATTGAAAATCTGTGAATGTTCGTTGAATATCTTCGTTTGATAGGAAATTGATTTGATTATTAATAAATAAAAGAGAACGAAAATCAAATGAAAATTCATTTAATTGTGGCATACGATTGAAAATATTTTTCAAATAATTTCCATCAATAAATTTATCACGGACATAGGTCGTTATATACAAACCAAGTTTTTCTAAATTTGACATTCGATAAAGAAGTGGCAAACAACATTCATCGAAATATGTCATTTCCCAAGCACATGATAGAACAAAACATTTTAGATTTGGGATTTTTGTCTAAAGATACAAAAACAAAATCAAATTTATTTTCTTTTAAAACTAACTTTATTCTTTATTATTTCTATTGAACCAGCAGGATTAATTAAATCAACAATCAATGTATGAAGCTGATTGAAACGACCATCGATAAGATAAACAAACTGTGAAAAACTTTGAACTTTTATATTTAATAGTAAAAGATTTGAAGAAGAAAAACTTCGAGATGGAATATCAAATAGTAAGGGAACAATATTTTCATATGATGATTCACCAAACATTAAATGTGTTAAATTGTTAAACACAGAAAAAATCCGATTGCACATTTTTACGATTGCCAACAAATAATTTTTATTGGGTTCAGTTGTTATAATCAGTCTTTTTATTTGCCTTTTAAAAATACTAGATGAAAGACTTTCATCTAAAACACATAAATATACAATTATTATATCAATATATATTTATATATAGATCAAAGACTAAGATTATCTTTGACAGAAACAAATTAGTTTTCTTTTCTATAAACAAATCTCTTAAAACTAATAAATATTCTTTTGTTTTCATTAAGCCTATTTAGTTATATTTATTTCTTTAAACGATTCTTTTGTAACTTCATCATAATATATATATTAGAAATATGAAATTCTTTCATATATTCAATGGTCTATGCAACTCTATTAATGATTTCAGCAGAATATTCGTGTCTATCTTAAATTTTCGTTTGTTTAGGAGTAAAGGAATTCTATGAAGATTTTCTTACCGGTAAAAAGACGTCTAGCTGTCTTTTCTTTCATATTGTATAGACCGAGTCCATATAAGTTAGGATAATTAGCAGCACGTAGAATACGTTTTATAGATGATGATTCAAGATGAAACCATTTGATTCTAATGGATATATCAGGTAAAATTTGTAAACAAAATCGATTAAGTATCACATTAGAAGATAATTTATTAATAAATTTGTTAGATGACCATTTAACAAAGTTCAAACTAGTTGTAAATATTGGATCACCTATTATTTTATTTAATTGTTTATTAAGACCATGCAAGGAGTAAAGTACATCAATATTATCTAATTTTTGAAAAATAATGAGAAGAATTTCACAAGGTATATCATTCAATTCTATGCATGAATATTCCATATTAATCTTTATTTATCTGTTTGTTTTATTGGAGAAAAGTCGATATTTAGGGGTC